AAAGGGTGTAAGTCCTTCATGTAAGATTTTCCAACTGCACACATCTATTCTCACTGGAAAATTTGGACTGAGGTCAATAAGAGGCATGCCTGAGTAATAGAAGGATAGCATTTGACCCATTATTCTGAGTACACGTTCCACCCAAACTGTGTCCTCTGCTACTCTTAGAACAAATTCTTGGTAAAGGTAAATTCATCCCAAGTGGAGCTCTCATGTTTCTGATTTCCCTTTAACCTTACCTTATAGTAAGTAATTCATGTAACTCAGGTGGTTGCCACCTCAGCTTCAAAGATGGACGCTGTTGTTAGTGAATTCCAGCAGGAGAATCCACTCCATCAGCCCCCTTCCCCCAAGCACTCCATGTGTGCCCTGTGTGTACATTCTTCTTGAATGAAGCTTGTCATTAGTTTCTCAATGTCGACATCTTTTTGTAGATTAAAAAGTGACTGGGACATCATGGTTTTAAAACAGACCTATTTATCAAAAAAATTACTAAAAACAAATTTAAACCATTCCCTTGAATCAATATAGTTCTACAATATCACCTGGTAATGAAAAAAGCCACTATTATTGGTATTTTCTTTAACAACAAAAAAAAAAGAACTAAACTAAAATGTTGGCCATTTTTAAAGGGCTTGATCTTCTGGATTTCCATGCAGTTTTATCACAGGTCATTGAAAATGTACACTTTGTGTGCTGGGAGGTGGAGTTGGGCTACATCTTTCTTGCTGAAGAGTAATTTTCAGAACTTTGGTATTAGCTGGTTTTTGAAGAATAGTAATGTTGGCATAGCAGTTGCTCCAAGACATTGGATACCAATGGAACACTAGTCATTGCTAGAAACATACATCACATAGGAACTTATTGTAATTATTATTCATAATTACGTCTCAATCACATCTCCATCAATTTTAAACTTGGACACCAAGATCATTTTATTCGTATGTGAGATTTCTATCTTTCTGCCTTTTATAGTTAGAAAGGGCACACACAAAAAAATCCTGGTTTATTGAAGAAATTGCTGGCAGTGGTACAACTCAGTAACGTCTTTTGTTGGTATAGCATTTTCAACTTTGCACAGTGTTTTTCCAGTGTTTCATGACCTGCCCCAGTCCCTGTATTTGTTCTCTGTGTTTTTTCTGCATATACTCCTAAATGTGCAGGTTGTTTGCCTTTAGAGGGATTGTTTTCGTTGTTTGTCTTTTGTATCTCCATTGTCTGGCTTGTTGATGGACTGATCTCATCAAAGAGGTGAGTGGTGGGTAGGGCAAAGGATGTTATTACCAAGCCGGGGACCTGATGTTCTATCTCTCCATTCAGGTGTTTGGGTTAGAGCCAAGGCTAGGCCCCTGTCTTCTGACTCTTGTGTCCCCAGGCTCCTTCTGTTAAACTCTGCAGCGCATAAATGCTTGCTGTCTGCCTGCACGTAGAATGCTTGTCTTCTTCGTTCCAAACTGAGATAAACTGGCTGGAATTCATGTAGCCAAAAAGAAAGAAAAAGACATTTTAAAAACAAACAATTCTTTGGTTTTTAATGAGACATTCATTTGAGTACCTGACAGTGTTTTTCTGCTTGTCCATTTTAAGTGCGTTCAGTGTCCATTTTCTTTTTAATGAATATAAATATTCTTAGCAACAATTTTAAAAAAAGAATGTTAAGTTCAAAGCTGGCTCAAGAGAGAGTCTTCAAACAAAGCAAGAAAGGTCTGTTTTGAAATACTGGGCATTCTAGAGCAAGAGAGATTTGAGGGTGAAAGGAAGACTTCCTTTCTTCTCCCACCCCCAACCCCCTAGATACTTTCTGATTGCTGCTGCTTTCATTTGGCTTAAGGGAATGAGGTTGAAAAGCCGTCCTGTTAGGCAGTGGTGTTGTACGGGCCTTTCTGGTCTTCCCTAGCGGCTCTGTTCAATTCTGGGTTAGAACAAAAATGTTGTAATCCCTGCTGGCTTTGTATCCTTTCTCCCAGTCCAAATGTCCTGGGCTTTCAGATTGGTTCCAATGACTTTGCCTTAGATTATGGTACTAAACCCACTGTGATTTAGGTCATTTCAGCAACTGTAGAGAGATTTATGCCTGTGTTAGTTTGCACTGGATTTCATCTTCCTTTTAAATAACATTTTCAAATATATTTTAAAGGTAAACCCATCCAGGGCAGGGAAAGGCATCTTTCCCTCTTTCCAGAGGTGCTGCCGTTACTTAGTTATTGCTGACTGACCAGCTGACCTCCTTGCGTTAGTGCAATTAGGACAGAGAGCAGCCATGCACTGACTGACAGCTCAGGATGAGGCACTATCATTTCCAGGCCAGTTACAGTGTGTTTACATACTTGTGAGCAGAAGAAAAAAAAAAGTTGAAACTGAAAACAGTTTTTTTCTCGCTTTCTGGTGGCAGCTTTTTCAGGAATTATGCAAGTCAGCATAGGATGTGTGATTGTGAACTTGTGCACTAGATCAGAATGTGTGTCAGTTGGATCTTTCTGAATAGAAAAAAAAAATCAGCCCCCCTACATACCGAACTCAGAGGGGGAAAAAAAAGTTTTAAACTAATGCAAATTTAGATATGATTATATATGCCATTTAAAGATAAAATGTACTGACAGCAGCCCTCCCAACCCTATCTCAGTCCTCCCACTTACTTCTTTCTTTGTGACCACCCCCATCCCACTGGAATTGTAACTCTTCCCTTGGCTACCCCTAGCTCTGATAAGTGAGACCCCTTCCTTCCTCTCTTCCTCCCTTCCTCCTTCCCTCCCTCTGTCCCCTCTGGCATCCAGGGCCATCTCCAGTTGTCCTGATCTATACCTTGCCACTGGGCTCTGGAGGAGAAAGTGAGGCTGCTGACTTTGCACAGCCCTGCCTCACTTAAATCTAATTCACTTGCAGGTCATGGCATCGCCTTCCTGATGTCATGGTCCTCTTCGAGAATGAGGGGCAAACAACCGCCCCAACACCCGCCCCCTACCTCTTGCTTCACCTAGGTTGCCCAGGCACGCTCAGCCTCGGCAGGCGGACCTCCTTTAGCCTTGTTTGTGGATGTTTGGTCCTCTTCCTTTGCCCTGTGTGGCTGCGTCTGTGCACATCCCCAGCCATGCTAGAATTCTGCACTGTGTTCCTGCCGTTGTATTTTGCTGCTGCGTCGGGGACCTCCCTACATCATTGTATGCTCCTAGAGATTCCCCAACAGAACCATTCCTGTGGGGATTGGAGGAGAGTCTCCCAGGGACCGTTTTTTAGTGAGAGTTTTGAAGAACTGGCTGTAGAATAAGAGCAAAGGAAAACCCCTGGAGATTCAGGCACTTCCAGCTCCTGCCTTTGGAGCAGGAATAATTTTCCACATATATTGTTTTGTATTATAACGGATACAGTCTGTGCTGGGCAGACATTTGCATATTTTTACATCAAGTTCCCAAAGCAATGAAATTTTTCTGATCCAAAGTACGTTTACTTAAATAAGGACAGCAACACAAACTATGTGTGTTCAAGGGCACATTTCTGAAATGGCCCACTACTCACTGAGCCACATTTCTCCAAACTGCTATTATGTTTTTCTACAGATTTTTGATCTATCTTTTATCATAGACCACCCCCCTCCCTTCCTCCTCCCTTACTAAACCTTCACAAAAGGCTTTAGGCCATAGAGTACTCCCTCTCTCATTCAAGTTCACAGCATCCATTGGCCATATGACTTAATTAGGATATTCCTAGTAGAATTATCACTAATGGTCCTTAGCCTTCCAGTCCCTATGTCTCTCTCTGCTATTATTTTACCTTTTTTGTGTCTTATCTCCCCAACTAGACTGTGAGCTCCTTGAAATTCAACACATTTTCTCTTAACTCCTTTTTTCTTTTTCTTTCTTCCCCTCTGAACAGCATGGTAGGTTCTAAGTACCAAGATGCTACAGGTTTCCTTACAGAGAGCCTCTAATAGCCCAGGTGGCCGCCTCTTAATGAGGTCTCAGTAGTCACTAAACTTATACCCCCACCCCTTTCCCATAGATTTAAAATATGACCTTGTCACTTTTAAAAGGTTTCAAAAGAAAATACTATATACAAGTTCTTTTCTTAATGTTTTGAATTCACCACATGTATGTTCCATGCATCGTTGACAGTGTAGTTTGGAAGCTTTTGGGAACTAAAACCAGCTTGGCTCTTTTATATTACTTTGCACATAGCCACACAGTACTACATCATCTGTACCATGAGCTTTCCATGAACATGCTTTGACTTACCGCTTGTCTTTTTTCGAAGTCCTGGCCTTGTGTTTTTTCCATAAAGCTTTAAATGTCGTTTATCCTTTCTCTGTATGATATGTGGGTTTAATACCTTTGACAGCAATGGGAGTTTGTGTGCGTGTCTGGTAGTGGAGGCAGGTTGTATAGCAGAACAGTTTGGGGCTGTGTATGTATGCGTTTTATTTTCTTTTAACTATATACCAATCCCATATCATTTAAAAGTAATTTAAGAAATGCAATTGAACCTGAAACTATTTAGCATCATCCCCTGGGATCATTTAATTACATTGCTTAGCAGTGCTGTTTTTGGAATGCGGTATTCTGTTGTGTAATGGGACAACAAGAAAAATAAATGGTTCCAGGTGTGCTGAATATTAACTCTTTCAGTGAAGATTCAGATGAGTTCAGATTTCCTCCAGGAAAACAAAAATGAGAAACAACCAGTGACAAATGAAGATGATAAGAGGGCCATAATTGGCATGCTGCCAGGGAGGAGAGGAATAACTGAAGGGCAGGACTGTGTCTTTAACAGTCTTGTGCAGCACCTAATGATTGAAGGGTGTTCAGCACTGTTGAGCTGCCATGGAGTAAACTGTGACCGTACTCTAGGTGTTTATTGGAATTAAAATGAAATCTTTTTGCTTAAAGAGGTTGTTATTTCATATCATTAGTGGTCTTCCCTTTCATATTTCGTTGTTACCTGTAGGTAGTGCTTGGCCTCAGAAGTGGTGGTTATTTACAGTTTGTCCTCTGGGGCTGTTTTTGCAGGTGTTACAAGGTGCTCAGTTGATAGCACTAGCCTCTGCTGATCCAGCTGCCGCGGGAGTCGATGGTTCATCTCTCCAGGGAAGTGATATCCAGGTCCAGTATGTCCAGCTGGCGCCGGTGACTGACCACTCAGCCGCGAATCAAGTATGTCCTCTCCCCATTGGAAGTGGGTGCATTATAAAGGAGGGTGTGGGTCGTGGTGGGGTTGGTGGGTTTCTAACGACTTCATAATGAAGTCCACAAGTCCTCTGTTTTTAGCCAAATTCTTATTTTGCAAAAATCAAAAGATAAATCACACTGAATCTATCCCACTAAGGGTTTTGTATCCATTTGGATCCTTAACATTGTCGAGCCCTGCTGACTCCCAAGGATCTTATCTCCCAGCAGGTCCCAGGCAGCCTACAGTCTACCTATCACATGCTACATGGTTGCCCTTCCTCTCTCTTATGCTTCTGTCTTCTTCTCTTACCTAATCCTCCCCAGTCCAGGCCTTTCAACCTGATATTCTGTCTCCTCTTCCTCATTTCAGATCTTTTGCCCTTGGGCCTCAGACCCTTTCTCCCTTTAGTGTATCCTTGATGAGGATTTTACTCCATGTTCTAACTCTGGCTAAGTCCTTAGTCATTGACCTCCATGTTGTTCTTGCCATAATTGAGGCCAGTTGGTTTATCTACTGGTCCAGGTGAGGACTCCTCTACTGGGATTGTCCCTTCTGTGTGGCTACTCTTTGTCCTGACAGTCCAACAGTGCTGCCTCAGGTGGTGGAGAATCACCTTCTTGTTGCCCTCATGGCCCAAATAAATAGAATTCTAGACTTGGGGATGACTTGAGGGCTCATCTAAACCAACTCATTGCCCTGTGCATGAATCCTCTCTACAGCATCTCCAACAAGTGCTCAGCCAGCTTCAGCTTGGATACTTTAGGGCAGTGAACTCACCGCCTGACGAGCAGATCCATTTCATTTGGGTGAGACTCTTAATTGCTGTTGAGTTGTTCTCTGGACTGACCGCCTTCTATCACTGGCCCAAGTTCTGCCCACTTAACCCACCCAGGATAAGCCTTACCCTCTCCTTTACATGGCAGCACTTCCAGTATCAAAGGTAACAATTGTTGCCCCATCCACCAGGTGTTCTCTTCTCCAGGCTAACCATTCCTAGCTCTTTCTGCGGATACCCATTCTGATGTGGTTTGGAGTTTCCTCATCAGTATCCTCCCGTATAGCCTTCTGTACAAGTGTTTTCCTTGGTTTAGAACATGGTCCCCAGAAAGAAACATGATGTTCCAAGGTGGTTTCACCAACATAGAGTCTAGTACAATGTGGAGGAAATGTGGGTTGATTTGACTAGAATGGAACGATCGAGTCCCTTTTTCTGGACACTTCACCTCTGTTAACATAGCCAGAGATCAGCTGGGCTTTTTTGTTGTCTATCACGTCACTTTGGAGTGATTGAGCTTGCGATGAACTGAAAGCCCAGTTCATTTTCTCATGAGCTAGTGTGTAACTCCATTTCCTCCATCCTGTTTTGGTGGAGTGTTTGATGCATTTAAACATGAGTGCAGGACTTGACATCGATTGATTACCATGTAATTTAATCCAGTTAGTAGACTGGGCCAAAGGGATGAAATGTTATCCAACATGCCAGCTATCCCTTTCACTTTCACGCAATTCACAAATTTGATAAGTAGTTTATCTGTCTCTTTAGTCATTGATAAAAGTGTTCAACACAATAGGGTCAATGATAGTTCCTTATTTGGACCTCTCAGACTGGGTATCCTATAGATGTATCAAACTCCACAGCTGATAGAATCATTGGTCTGCATGCTTTCCGGCCCTCTGTGGCGCGCCCCCCCCCCCAATTCTCTCAATTCCTGTTTCTACCTTCTCTGTTTTCCTGTCCCTCTCAAGTGTACCACAGTGATCCCAGGAGCCCAGGTTCAAACCCCATGTCACCTGCAGCTCCTCACTCTCACTCTCCCTTCCCCCCCCCCATGACGTGGCCAAATTGTGGCATTTTGATCTTCACAACACCTCTGTTATGTGTCTCCTTTTTTCTATTCACCAAGCCTCCGCTCTGGTGTAGGCTGACATCACCACTCACCTGGACTCTGGCAGTAATTGGTCAGTGCCCATCCCCAGTCCATCCTCATTCACCTCCTGTCACCTCCAGGATCAGACATATGTCTTTTGCATTAAAGTTCTTCACAACCTGGCCAGTTCCCATTTTCCTCATTTTCTTATACTCCGTGCACTCTGCAGCCCACCCACACCAACCTCATCAGCTGATGAATAAGCCTGTTGTAAGCATCTGCTGTTTGCCAGAAGCTGTGCTAAGTGCTGGGGATACAAAGACAGGCAAAAACAACCCCTGCCCTCCAGGAGCTCAGTCTAATGAGGAAGCCTTCGTGCTGTTCCTTTCACACCCTCCACCTCTTGTCTTCAGGCTTTTCCACTAGATGTTCCCTATGCCTGGAATGCTCTCCTTTCACTCGCCGCTAAGTGTCCTTGGCTTCCGGCTGCTTTCCCAACTGCTAGGGCCTTTGCCTTTGAGATTCTACTCCATCTACTTCATATACACATACATATACATATACATATACATGTACATGTACATGTACATATACATATATATACACACACACATATGGGTGGGGGGAGAGAGAGATGCACACATATGTAGGGTTTATCTCATTTTCGTATATGTCCTATTCCATTGGATAGTGGGCTTCTGGAGGGCAGAGGCTATCTTTTTCTTTCTTTGTGTCCCCAGTGCTTAGCACAGTGCCTGACATAGAATTAATGCTTAATAAATGTTTATTGACTCGCTGAGACTTCCATCCAGATGGACATTGATACCCTACCTGGATTTGGTCATCTCACCCTATTGTCTGCACTTCTCCATCTTGCCTACAGAGGTCACCTTGAGGACATCCAGATGTGTGTCTTCACGGCATTGACCTAATACACTAATCTAGTGACCCTGTGAACCATCGTGAATGAGGTTAATCTGGCATGCCTAAGTGAACTCATGTTAACTCCTAGTGATGCCTGCTTCCCTAAGTGCTCACAAATTATCCATTTAATAATTCATTCTAGAACTTTTCTGAGGATCAGTTATGCTCCAGCCTCCACCTTCAGCCCAGTGCTTCAGCTCCCGTCATGGGTCCTTGGGTTTCTGGTTGGTGAAACCTCACCCTGTCTAGCCTGACTCAGACCCCCCCCCCTGCTGCTGTTAGCCGGCCATCTCCATGTCATGCTCCTGTGTGTCAGCCTGCGGCTCCAACCTGGCCCTCCACCTTCTGCTTTGGGGCCCCAGGCTCCCGCTTGCTCTAGCCTGAATCAGGGCCCCTCGCTGCTGTAACCCGGCCACCTTCACGCCACGGTCCTGTGCTTCAGCCATCACCTCTGCCCCAGCATGTCAGCATCCACCCTGGGTGCCGGGCTTCAGATTGGTGAGACGTCACCATTTCTAGCCCGACTCAAATCCCTGCTCTTCTCTTTCCTGCTTACCTTCATGCTGCGGCTATGCGAGTGCCGCCTTCCCCGCGCACGCCCCCCCCCCCCCCACTCCAGTAATAAAATAAACCAACACCACTGTGCCTGGAAAGCACACCTCAGTCCTGTGACTGCTCTGTGGCTGCACTCGCTGTCTCCGCAACTCCCCTGACTTCACTCTCTTCTCTGTGTTGTCCTCCCCTGTTAGAATGTAAGCTCCGTGAGGGTAGGGACTGTTGTCTTTTGTATTTGTTGCTCCATTGCTTAGCACAGTGTCTGTCACATAGCATGTGCTTAATAAATGTGTTTTTGTTCATTCAATCATTATCTTGATGTGACCACCTTGTTATCTGTGCTGTGAATCTGCACTTTGTCCACATCGCCCATGGGGGATATCATGGGAGAATCTTCTTTAGATAACCCTGCTGAATTCCAGATGTAGGTCTCCATAGCATTTGCCTAATGTAGTCATCTGGAAAACTTGCAAATAAAAGGAGATGAGGTTAGTTCGGCTTGACTCCTGGAAATCACTGCTTCCCTCAGAGCTCACAAATTATCCGTTTAATCATAGGGTCATCGGTCTAGAATTGGAAGGGACCTCAAAGGTCATTTATCACTCTAATCCCCATTTGCCCATTCTGTCCTAGGAGTTTTCTGAGGATCAGTGGCAGGCTCCCTAGGCAGCCTTTAACTTCCCTGACTCATTTCTGCCATTTTTAGAAAATTGAAACATTTTGCTCATCTCCCTGACCCTTAGCATCTCTGGATCATTGGTCCAGCCTGTTTGCATGTAGGCATTTTGGACATTGATCAGTTTTTGCCTTATGATTCATAACATACAGTCACATGACAGAACTGCAGTTTGGAAGAGACTTCGTCCTGCACTTTTATTCAAGTTTAAATTGCTTTATGAAAGTGTCCCATATTCCCATCCAAATCTAGTAGTGTTTTGTTACTTGTCTTCACACACTTTTGCTCCAACTAGACCCCCACTTATTTGCTTCCAATTGTAGCAGTAGACCATCCAAATCTTAATTTTAGCTCCCTTTTCACGTAAAAGGCTGGGCATGTGGTACACACCTGTAATCCCAGCTATGGGTGGGGGAGGTGGGAATCTGAGGCTAGTGGGTCACCTGAGTGCAAGAGCTCTGAGCTGCAGCAGGATTAGAGCCCTTTGGGTGTCCTTACTCAATCCCGCACCAATATGGTGATCTCCTGTAAGAGGGCCCAATTGGCCTAGCTCAGAAATGGAGCTGGTCAAAGCTTAAGTGACTTTCAGCACTGGGATTGAGCCTGAGTGGCTGCTGTACTTCCAGCCTAGGCAAGACAGGGAGACCCAGTCTCATCGCTGCCACCCCACCCCACCCCCCAAAAAAAAGTATACAAGAAGCTTCCTGGCTAAAATGAGAAGTTTTCTTAGACTCAAGTTGTCCTTAGTGTCGGGTCCTCAAAACCATTACTCTTCCTGCTGACCTGTTTACTCATCCTTTTCATGGTGTACTTTGTTTTCCACTTTTTCTCTTCCTGTCTGGTGTGATTCATTTTTAATCCTGTAGGCCGTGTCTCCTATTTACCCACCTGCTTCCCCTCTTCAACTGTTTCGGGCTGATCTTCAGTTCACATGTGCTTTTGGACAACCAGATTCATTGCTGACTTTAGTCTAATGCTCCACCCTCCACCCCCAAACTAACTTAAGCATGTTCCTGACTCCTGTCACATGCTGAGCATTTAATTCCTTCTGCTTCTTCCCTTCTTTCTTCCCTCTCCCCATCACTCCATCCCTTCTCCTTTCCTTCTGTCCTCTCCACCCTTCACTGCCGCCCACAGTCCTAGCTCCTAGCGTCGATGGCAATGCACCATAATTCAATACGTAATACAGTCATAGAGTTTTTGGAGCTAGAATGGACCATAAAAATCTTTTAGTCCAACCCTTTCATTTCAAACAGGCCTAGAGATAAAGCCATAAAAGTAGCAGGTAGTAGCACCTAGGTCCTCGCATGACAAACCCAGCACTGTTTCTAGGACTGCGTGTTTCCTTGTTCTGGCTGACTCAGATGCTTACATCTCATCTTCATTTTTGTGGGCTTAACATTTTCCCCTCCTTTTTTCCTATTTTTGGACACGTGAGCCACCACAGCATAACTCAAGCTATTTACGTGTTTCCATCTTCACACATGCGAAGTGACCCATCCAGGGTCACCTAGGTGGTAAAGAGCAAAGTTCCATCTTTAATTGTTGAGGGCTTAAAATAACATTTCTTGACATTTATTCTAAGCCGCTTTAACAATATATTCGTATATAATTTTTGTGGTGTTTTAAAGTTTAAGAATTTTGTTTTTAAATATTCCATCAAATTCATGAATATTTTATAGAGCATTAGATAATAATTAAGTACACACGATTGTTTGGTAACTTCTTGTGGATCCAGCAAAACATGGGCCTGGTCTTAGCGAGGCATTCGTTTCAGTGCCAA